TAAAAAGCCGCATGAGCATGAGTTAAAAGTTTTAATAAGATCCGGGCGTTAACAGGTAGCCAGTGAAGTTCTATTAATATCGGTGTCACGTGATTCTCCATAGAAGTTCGGGTAAGAAGACGTGCTGATATATTTTGAATGCGTTGGACTTTCTTTGTTCTTTCTATGCCGCATCCATAAAGCAAGGAGTTACAGTAATCAAGCCTTGATGTTACTAGAGCATGAATGACCGTAGCAGTGGAAGAATATGTTAAATTATTTCGTTGGCAACTGATGTTTCTTATGTGATTCAAACAAGATTTTTTTCACATTGGCTATCTGCTTGTCCATGTTTAAAGTAGTATCAAAATACACCCCCATTTTTTTTTTTTTTTTTTTTTTTTGCATGAAGAGAAACCCCAACTATTGCAGATCCAATTTGTAGAGATAGCCCTTTAGCTAAGTATTTTGAGTGAGGTTGAGTGACGACCATGAATTCTGTTTTTTTCATATTTAAATTTAGTTTACTTTTGATCATCCATTCTCGCAAATCTGAAATGGCATAGGTGAGTCTAGTTATTGCATCCCCAGGCTTAAGAATATCACAATTAAGGTACAACTGGGTGTCGTCTGCATATATGTGATAGCCAACTTGATGATATCGTAGTATAGCACCCAAGGGTAGTGTGTAAATGCAAAATTTAATTGGTCCAAGAACGCTGCCCAATGGAACACCAAAAATCATTTGCTCAAGATCTGAAAGTACACCGTTGATGGATATCTGCTATGTTCTACCAGTGAGATAGGACTATAGAAGAGACAACGCATTGTCCTTAATTCCAGCTGATTTCTCGAAAAATGATAGAAAAGTGGCATGGTCGACTGTATCAAATGCTTCTGAAAAAACTAGTAAGACTGCTGAATGATTGTCAACACCAGTCAGCAAGATCCGTGTTATGTTTTGCTTTATAAGCAGATTGCATTTTTCCACAAAACTGTTCTGTTTCAGATGCTCAAATAGCCTCGTTGCCATGACTCTTTCTACCACCTTTGACAAGAAAATTAAAGACATTATGATCCAAGTTATTCTTTTTCAGAAGAAGTTTGATTACTGCACTTTTGAATGAGTCTGGAAACATTCCCTCTTTAAAGCATAAGTTCACCAGTTCTGTGATAGGATTTATGACAGTTGGTAGAATTTAGGTCAGCAATGTTGTTGGGATGGGGTCTAAAGAACATGTTGCCTTTTTTGAACTCGTAATGATTTTTGAGACTTCGGTTACAGTTGTCACACTGAATGCGCAGAGAGTTGATACTGGCATCGGTAGATTTCGGTTATAGGTGGATGTGATGGACTTGATACTGTGTCCTCCAATAATGACAGATCATCATATATGTTGCCGATCTTTGCAGTATAAAATTTACTCATGCTATTGGTAAGGTCTTTTAGAGATTCGCAGTCAGGGTGAGATGCGCTATTGTTTTTTCCCAGCATGCTGTTTACTGTTCTAAAAAGTGCCTTGCTGTCACCATGAAAAGATTGTATCATTTCCGTTAAGTATTTTGCTTTTGATTCATTAATTAGATGATTCACTTTCTTACATGCATCTTTTTTATATTTGATGATGCACAGTCAGTCTACGTTTTCTCCATATTACTTCTGTTTTTCACCTATTGCGCTTTGCTTCTAGAATTTCATCAGTCATCCACGGTTGTAAATCTCTTTTCACGACATATTTCATTTTTATTGGAGCAAATGTATCAAGCGGCTGGATAAGACTTGGTCATACAGTAAGGCACATTCATGGGAATTCAGACCAGATAAACAATGGGAGGATAAACCACTAGCTACATGATCGTCAAATTCCGAGATGTTAATTGTTTTGACTTTTCTATATGAAGTTGCCTCTCTTTGAGAGTGTGGTCTACCACATTTAATTTGCGTAAGAATAATATGATGATCTGAGATTAGTGGACCAACATTACAGGAATCAATTAGTTCATCAGATGCTCTGGTTAACACAAGATCCAGTGTGTGACCCTGGATTTGTGTTGGAGAAGTGACATGCCGAGTTAAAGCAAATGAGCTTATAAGTTCCTTGAACTGTTTAGTCTCAAGGTTATCATGCTTTTCCCAGTGGAGATTCATATCACCAACAACGAGAAGTTTTGCTCGTAACGGTGCCAGGTGTTCAAGCAGATCAGCAAATTCTGAGAGAAATGATACCTTGCGGAGTTTAATTGCCTGTGATGGTGGAAATCTGTATACGGTGACAATTCCTAATTAATCTGAGATTGCTGTTGCTTTGGCTTCAATATATTCAAATGAGGAGCAATTAATTGATTTTGGAAGATATGTTAGCTTAAATTGCTCTTTACACAGAATGGCCACTCCTCCTCCTCGGCGTCCAGTACGTGGGAAATGAATGCCCTGGTATCCAGGCGGTGTAATATCAGCTTGTATTTGTTGTTGGAGATCCGATGTAACCCGATGTAAGTCTATGTTGCAGTCCTTGATGAAGTCACGGATGGTAGACACTTTATTTCTCACTGATCTGCAGTTCATCAATGCAAGTTTGGCCAGTGGTCTACATTTAGTTTTTTCCAGAGTTTTCAAATTACTGAAATTTGGTCCAGTCTGCTCAAACTTATTATCAGTCACTGTATCTCCCGGTTTTGTTGGTCGCCTCTTAAACACATCCACAATCACTGTGATGTTGTTCACTTTTGCCACAGGTATTTTTACAAGATTTGCCAAGTTTATCCCTTGTGTACTACATTGTGCAGAGAGGGACCTGTGTGAAGAGAGTACTGTAATGGGTCTTTGGTGATAAAAGCCGGCACGTTTGCCACGGTAGTAGTATAAAATGATCATCAAAAACTTCCTGTTTCAAGATATGGTTGGAAATCTGACCTCTTCCTCAAGTTTCCGACACATTCATAGATGTATAGGTCCAGCTTCAAGTTAAAAAAATGTTTGCTAAACACGTAAAAAATCCAGAAATTTATAGGAGGTCTGGCAGCCACACCAGCGCACTCGACCTTGACCTTATAATAATTTTAGATATTTTTATTGAAAACAAATCTCTTAGGGATTACCTAATAAGGAAATGGTGCATGGTGACGCAAATACAATGTGTTACGTTATAATGTGTTACGTTATAATGTGATTGTGGTATCTCGTGACTTTTTGACCAATCGGAACATTACAAATTGCACGCTCCAGAAGAGAAAAAAAGGTCAAGGTCAAGTGAACGCAACAAAAGCGTTTTCTCCGCAGCATGGCGATACATGTACTGATGACCGGGGCTGATGAATGGTGCGAGATTTGTCATTGATCTACGATTCAAATATGAGAAATATTCTGGGAAAAGGACCCGTGTACAACATGTATGGATTTCCAATGGAGAGAGGTATTTTGTATGTGACTGAATGACGTTTGCCTCCGAATCCGTCGATGCATAACTATAGCGGTGACAGTGTGACTTGGATTTTCATGAGAAACTGTGCCGCGGGAGAATGTTATTGAGGTGAACAATAATTTGTTTGACAATGTGGATGTATTTAACTTTAAAGCGAGGAGGAGGATGTGGCGATAGGCCTGACTGCCCGTGGTGGCATTTATTGACATACATGTGTGCACCATCCATCAACTTCAAGACATTATAATCATTCATGTACAAATGACTTTAAATATTAACTGTAATATTGTTTATTCTTGTTTAGCTTGTTATATTATGTTCTAGTTCTGAAAAGTGTTATGTGTTAATCATAGCTTAGTAATATAGTAAAATTGTTCAAGAACATTGCTTTATGTTACGAGAATCCGTTCGTAACAAATGGAAAGGAAATAAGAAAATGCATGATCAGTGGGCTTAAACAGAGTTTAAATACTTGTGACATTGTTTGAAAAAGTAGTCGGTGATTAAACGTTCGAAAGCTCCAGATTGTTGTCGTTATTATTATTCGCTATAACAAGTGGTGGAGAAAAAAGTCGATCCCCGCTCTACCGAGGCAATCGGAACGGCGATATAGTTATGGTGATCACGGCAGCAGGAGCGTAGACGCCGATGGGTTCACACCATCCACCTAAGGGCAAACATTGTCAGTGGCCCAGCGCAGAGGAAACTGAGTATGCTGGGTATTGCAAATCGCCAAATGCCATTACTGCCAGCAACAATTAATAACTGAAAACCAAGCGGAAGATGTCTTCGGATTTGTATTTAGCGCCAGAAAAGTTTACAGCTAATGAAAATGAAGATGAGGAAAGGTGGTTAAAACACTTTGAAAACTACCGGTATAAAATACCGGTATAAAGTATAAAAAATAGAAGAAGAACAAGCCACCGCCTTATTTCCTCTGTTGCTGCATCTAACAGTGTTAGACTGGTACGAGTGTTTACCGGTGGAAGTGCAGAAAAACTGGGAATCGCTATTCCGCGAGTTACGGCAGTGATATGAACTGAAATCCAGAGAAACCTGGGCGAAAGCTTCAGAATTTTTCAGACGTGATCAGCTGCCGGAAAAAACAGTGCAGAATACCATTGAGTCGATGCATCACGACGCCAAACGTGCCCGTTTAGATTATGGAACGGCGTTTACAGTGGTAATGGACGGGTTACTCCCCGAAATCCCTCCATTTGTATTACAGAGAGAGCCCTCCTACTTTGATTCGCTTATGCACCACGCGCGCATTGCAGAAAAAGCAGTTCAACCGACCAAAAGAAGTCAACGAACTGACATAAACACGATATCAGAGAAATTAGACGCGTTGCAGAGCTCAATTAGCGACGCCGTACGTACCAGCGAACAGTCTCTGATCTATATGTTACAAAGCCTAAATGAAAGCAGAAATGAATAAACTTTGCACCCCCGAGAGCGAGCCCATTTGCATCTCCAAAAAGGTTCACGGCCAACGCCAATGGCCCCAGACGTGTGCCCCAACCCAACTTTCATCTGAAACGCCCAGGATACAAATCACCAGCTGGACGTTCGAGTTATCCTCAGCGCAACCCGATAAAAATGGCCCATGTGTCAAGGATGCGGTAAGTGCACGCATCTTAGACATGATTGTTTTGCTCGCAATGTTTACGGTAATTGTTGCGGTGAAATATGGCACATAGCAAAAGTCTGTCATGCTGCACGTGTAGACAAACGACTAAGAAAAAGAAAAAAAGTTGTATAACAAGATTGAAGATAGAAAAGTGCCAATTTCTAATATTTCCGATTACCAAGCTAAAAATATAATAGCAATTCAAATTGACAAACCAAATGTCAATGCTTTGGTTGACACAGGTGCATTCATTGTGTATCGGAATCTCTTTCATCAAAACTAGGAAAAAGGATCGAAATTCATACGAAAAACCGTCTTTAAGAATTTTTACTCGTTGATGAATCTGTGATAGGAAAAGTAGATTTACCTTTTTGTTTTGGATATGTGATCATTAAACATAAATTCCAAGTATAAAGCCAGTTTCCAAGAGGTTTGATATAAGGCACAGATTTCTTAAGAAAACACAAAAATTGACTTATCTTCTGATAGTATGTCACTACCTGATTATAATTTGCTCTTACCCTTGTATAGTCCACCTGTTTTAGGTTTACAAGGTGACTCAAAAACACGGTCATCACCTTAACTTGAATAACTTTTGAAATAAATAATCAATTCCTTTTATTTTTTAAGATTTATCAAGAAAAATTAATGTTCTAAAAGTGTACTTAATTCGACCTTCGAGATTCAATGGACTAATGAGGAACAGACATTTATAGTTGAGGCATATTTTCGGTTTATCCACGCAGCTCAATTGCAATTCAAAGAACGGTTCAGGGGCCGGTTTCACAAAGCAGTAGTTAGTTAGAACAACTAACTACTGAACTACCTCGCTAACGAGCAAACTTAGCGATTTTCGAGGGGTGTTTCACGAAGCAGTAGTTAACTTATCGCTAAGTTCAGTCGTAAAGTTCGGTCGTTAGTTCTCTCGTTACTCACCGTAGTCTCGAAACCGTCTGCCGGAAGTGGAACTCTTGCGTAAAAGTGTCACGAAAGCACTAATTCTCCAATTTTTGATGGCTGGAAATGCATAATAACGTCTGCTTTGAGGTCGTCGTAAAGGATCTCCACCACCTTTTTGCCGCTCTTTTTGTCACGGCGCAACCTCTCGTAAATTGCATCATCGTATGTATATTATAATAGATTCTGCCTTTCATGAAAACGTCGTAGTCTACGTTGCCGTCTGGCGGTACGGTTAGCAAGAAAGGTAGCCGCCATATTGGATACAAAGACAACCCGCAAGAAAACGCATTAGATACTCAAGCGCAGTTGACTACTGCAATCATACTGCAAACATGCTTCAAATCTGCTTCGAGTAGGGAGCTCATTAGCATATTTGAAACATGCTTCTATCATGCTGCTAATCTACTGCATTAATGCTCCTCCTCTGTACAACCCTATGTAAATTTTGAAGTAGAATTGCAGTAGGCTATGCTGCATTTCTACTGCAAATATGCTCCACACCACTACTGCGTTAATGCTTCTTTGCTACTTCGATACTACTGCATTTTCGTGCGGGAAACGACAGACAACGGTAACTAAGCAATCTTTTTATTTCACTCATTACGCATGCGTACGATTAAACTCTAGAGTTAGTGACTGGTCTGACCAGTCGTTAAATATCCATGGTAACAACGAGACAATAACGAGCGAGAGAACTAGCGACTGCTTCGTGAATCGGCACTATAACTAGCGAGAGGCTAACTACCGATCGCTAACTAACTACTGCTTTGTGAAACCGGCCCCAGATGTCGAGAATTTCCTGTCCACTCAATGATCTACAGATGGGTCAACAAGTTCAGAACCCATGGGACTGTGCATAACCTCAATTGTAAAGACACTAACATACAATCACACTCTGGACGACATAAATCATCAAGGACACCACACAACATTGCTGCAGTCAGAGACTCTCTTGTCCAAGCAAGTCTGGGCGACGGCGAAGTCAGGAGCTTGGAATCAATCGGGAGTCCGTGCGGATAATTTTGAACGCAGATCTCCACCTGTATCCTTACAGGATACAGATTAAACACAAGCATACACCTGACGACATGAGGAAGCGAGTGACCATGTGCTAGTGGTTTTGCGAGAAGATTGGCACTGTGCCAGACTTCCTTGACAATGTCTGGTTTTCGGACGAAGCACATTTTCTGTTGTCAGGTCACTTGAACTCGGAAGAACTTCTTCTGGTGTAGCACGCCCATTGAGCACTGTCTGAAAAAGCCATTACACTCGGTGAAGGACACTGCCTGGGTCGCCATCTCCAAACATGGCATCATTGGACCATTCTGGTCAGAGGACGACAACGAGCGGTCTGTGACAATCAACACCGAGCGATATGTCCAGGTGCTTGGCAAGTTCTGGACAGCACTTGGTCGACGAAGAGGAGTTGTCAGGGTCCTCCAGTGGTTCCAGCAGGAAGGTGCCATCTCCCCTTCCACACACACACACACACACACACACACACCTCAAACGAATCATTGGAATGGCTACAGCAGCGTTTCCCTGACCGACGGATCAGCCGCAGGTGTGACCCGGAGTGGTTGCCGCATTCACCGGACCTGAACCCCCTATATTTTTATCTCTGGGGAAACCTTAAAGACAGGGTTTACGGCAACAACCCCCAGACTATCACTGACCTGAAGGCAGCAATCACAGCAGCAATAAGAGTGATCCCAAGGGAGGAATGCGGGAGGGTCATCGAGAACTTTGCCCACCGTATCCAAACGTGTCTGCAGCGCCGGAGAGCTCATTTGGAGCACATTTTGGAGCGCCAGTGAAACAAAGAGTTTTTGTTGTACAGACTTGAAACTTTGTAAATTTTTGCTACACAGGCTTGACCTAATGTACCTAAAGTTTTGTGTCGTGTGTGGCGATCTGAATAAAATTTTGGAAGTTATTCGTTTTTTGGTGATGACCATTTTTTTTGTGTGTCACCCTAGTACAGGCACGTAACTTTAAATCAGAATTTATTCCACCTTGATGTAAATGCTTAATTCCTGTTGCGATTCAAGGAGTCTGGCAAGCGCCAGTGCTTTAAATGAAATGTCAGAGGGAGACACAGCGCAAAAAGTTGACAGGTTATCGGATCAAGAAGCATTGCGGAATGCAGATGAATTAAATATAAACTTTGCCGATTCAGACAAGACTGAAGACAGTTGAAAATGTTGTTAGGACGTAATCGTGAAGTTTTTGTTAGGTTCAGTAAATATGTATCAACATACAATCGACACAATAAATGTTACAACATGGTATAATCGAAGAAAGCATGAATGTATGGGCGGCGGTTTATACAAAAATTCAAAACACGTTTAGTCGTCGTCGTTATCAGATCAGTCGAATTGAAAACACGATTAGTCGTCGTCGTTATCAGATCAGTCGAATTGAAAACACGAGTAGTCGTCGTCATCTGATCAGTCGAATTGAAAACACGAGTAGTCGTCGTCATCTGATCAGTCGAATTGAAAACACGAGTAGTCGTCGTTATCAGATCAGTCGAATTGAAAACACGAGTAGTCGTCGTCATCTGATCAGTCGAATTGAAAACACGAGTAGTCGTCGTCGTTATCAGATCAGACGGCAAAATACGACAAGTAGTCATCAAAACGCAACTAGTAGAAGCCAAAACTCGATTTGACGCTAGATGGCGCTCATGTCAATGGTCTTGGCTACCCTTGTGCCGACTTCACAGTCAATCCCGCGAAAATCTGACACTGACAATTAAGTGCTTATTAATTTGTGATTGACATATAGAGGAGAGTTGACAGATGTTGTACTATAGTAGGCTAGTATGTGATAGATACAATACGAGTCGCAGAGCTGTACGTGAAATAAATACAGGGGTACGAGTGTATTGTCGAGCCGCAGGCGAGTGTTGTACTGCTACTACACTGCCCTTGCGATATTTTTCTCATACATGTTAGGGGCACTTGTGGTCACTTAGTCCTGTGTTGGGCGATGGAGGGCAAGGTTGAACTCGCCTAACAGCTCCCCTCGACCTAAGTCAGCCATAGCCGCTTCGTGCAGCAGCAGCAGCAGATTAGATACTGAGAAGCCCCCCCCCCCAAAAAAAAAAAAATATATATATATATATATATATACTCTTTCTCCCCCATCAGTGGCGGATTTAGTGTGGGGGTCTGTCCCCCCCCCCCCCTTCGGTTTCTGAAAAATATATCACGCCAATATTCCCCTCTTGAAATTAGAATTTTGACTAGCTAAATAAATCATAGTTCTTATAACCGTACCAAAGGCACTGTTTGCTCTTTAAAACACCAAAAATTTTCGGGGCCCTTGAGCAGGCCCCAAACTCCACACCAGTGGGCGACGATCGGCTT